TTCGCAGGTTATCTCCGATGCCCACGATAAGGGTATCGTCCGCGTAGCAGAGGACGTGGCACCCCGCTGGTAAGTCCAACCGCAACACCCCGTCGTACGTGAAATTCCACGCCTCCGGCCCGAACGCCGACCCCTGTGGAACTCCGCATGTTGTACGTATTCTTCTGATGTTGTTTTTTACGTCCTCAAAGCTTATCCATCGGTTGGAAAGGTAGTCGCTTACAATGGCTCTCAGGTAGTTTGGGAGCTCCTTTGTTATAGTGGCCTCTCTTATTTCCTCCCACCTAAGCGAGTTGAACGCATTTGAGATGTCCAACGAGACCGCCACGGCGTATCGGCCCTCTTCGTACACCGGCTCCAAGATCTCTCTCAACCGCATCACCGCGTCCACTGTGGAGTGCCTCGCTCTGAATCCGTATTGCTGCGGGGATATGCCCACTCCTTCCTCCAAGCAGGCCCTTATCCTGTTCACCAGGACCCGCTCAAACAATTTGCCAACCTCGTTGAGAAGGCAGATTGGCCTGTAGGATGACGGCATCAGGTCTGGCTTTCCTGGCTTTTTAAGAAGGACGAGTTTCGCAGTTTTCCAGCACTGCAGAAAAACTCCTTCCCTCAGGCATGCGGTGAAACACTCGGCGAGCGCATCCGCGCATATAGGCAGCGCCATTTTCACGACCTCACCCACGATGCCGTCCGGGCCGGGGGCCTTATTCGTTGTTAGTTTCTTTGCGGCCCGCTCGATCTCCTCCCGCTTCACCGACAGGTCCTCCTCCCAGAGTACGATCCGCCTTGGTTTATCGCACAATTCCTCGTCCATCTGGGGGAATAGTCCCGCAACTATTCTCTGTACCTTCTCTGGCGGGAGCGTCTCACAAATGGGTCTAGCGGCCGGTCTTAATTTACCCAGTACGATTTTGTAGGGCCTGCCCCAAGGGTCCCGGTCTATCGTATCCAGCAGCTCCCCCCACGCGGAGTTTTTCGCCGCTTTTATGGCTGTTCTCAGGGCCTTTCTGCTTTGAGATAGTTCCGCCTCCAATGCAGGTGCCGCCCCCCCGTTTCTCCGGTGCGCCCTGGTGACTCTTCTTCTGATTGCGTTGCATTTCTTTCTAAGGGTCGCAATCTCCTCGTTCCACCAGTATACTCCCTTTCTAGATCCGAGCCTGTGGCGCCTCATAGCTGCATTTGATGCCTCCGTTAGCATCACCTGCAGGTGTCTCGCTTGCTCTTCGGCGTTCATATTATTATTATTCCACCCAGGCCAGAGGAAGGTCGCCACGCTGGCCTGGAGTATATCCGCGTTTAGGCTCTTCCTATTCCATCTTGGGAATCTTGTAATCGTGGGGGTCCCCCTTGGTCTTCGTTCTCCCCACAAGTGGATGTAGATATATCTATGATCCGAGAGGCTTTCTTCCTCCGTTGCCACCTCCCAATGCTCTATCATCCGGAGAGCAGCCGGGGACGCCCAGGACAGGTCGATCACCGACCTGCCCTGCGGCCTCACGCAAGTCGGCACAAAGTTTTCGTTGAGCAGCCTGAGATCTAATGTGGCGGCCCAGGTCGTCATAATGTCCCCTCTCCTAGTTGGGTGCGTGTTGTCCCATACCTCGGATCGGGCGTTGAAATCACCCAGAATCAGCAGCGGGTCGTTCAGGTGACCCCTCACTGCGTCGCCGATCCCGGCCAGGTACGCTTTAAATTGATTCAGGCTTTTGTTTGGGGAAAAATAGCAGGATGCTATTACCAGTTTTCCCCATGCTACCATCACGTAGCCATCCCCAGCTTTTAGGGTTGAGACGCTCGCGGATATGTCGTCCGCCCATGTCACCGCAGCCATGGGAATTGGTTCCCTAGATCGCATCCATTTGGAGTTGTTGGGCACTCGGTGTGGCTCCGAAACGCAAGCCAGGCTGCACTCCCGCTCTCGCATTGTCTGTGTCAGGAGGTCCTGGGCACCGCACGATCTATTCAGATTTACCTGGATAATCCTCTTGGGCATTTTAATTCAACCTATGCTCTTCGGCCTTCCTGCTCCGATCGGCCAGAGTATCCTCTCGCCTTGGACTTTGGCGGATCATTCTTCTTGGGGGGCAGGGCGGGCAGATTTCTGCCCCCGTTCTATGATCGTATCGCAGGCCCTTCTCTCTGCAGATCATACAGCGCGGGGGTCTTCTGCACTCCTTCGCAGCATGGCCTTCCTCGCAGCAGTTGAAACATTTATTGGTTCTGTCCACCTCGCTCGGGCAATTGTCCCTGACGTGGCCCGTTGCAAAGCATCTGTAACATTGCAGTGGCCTCCTTTTTAGCAATGTCACTAGGGCCGTGGACCAGCCCACCCGAAGCCTGCCTGCATCCGCCAGTTTATTCGCCGCGTGGAGGGGAAACTGAAGCCACACCGTCCTCAGATTATTTCTCGCCAGCCTGAAAGAGCCTAGTCGCACCGTAGATGCCTCACATCCTCCCTCCATGGCTAGGACCTCGGTTAGCTCCTCCGTGGATACTGAGGCGTCGAGCCCGGCCAGTCTCAACTCACCCCTCAGCGTTGGTCTTCTGACCTGTATGTCTGTCTCTTTAAAGGCCTCACGGAGTCTTTTAGCTAGGCTATCTGCCGCCGGTGAGGTGCCCTCCCCCGGGATCTCGATGAGCACGTTTCCAGCGACCGTGCTTCTCATCCTGGTCTCTTTAATCCCAAGCTCTTCAAGCTTGATTTCTTCCCGGGCCTTACGGATAACCTCCGAGTAAGTGGGACCGCCCTC